AGAGCTCCGGGTGGGAACGAGGGTCTGCGGGGATTTGCAGGAGTCGGCGGGGGTGGGGATAGGGGTCACTGACCTGCCCGTTCTTGCAGAGGTCTGCCCACATGCTGGTGCCGTCGCCGCCGCGCATAAGGATGTGGTAGGTGAAGAAGTAGATGCCGCGCACCTGGCAGCTGAACTTGCCAGTAGTGGGGTCGTAGTGATTGCCGAGGTTGGTGACCACGTCGTCGAACTTGAGAACCTCGTAGCCTTCGTGGGGGCTCTTGAGACCCACGTAGAAGGCGATCTTTGGACCGCTGAAGGCGGCGCTAAGCGCTCCGGTCACTTCGCCCTCAGAGTCGCCGCCGCCCCCGGTTCCGCCACCCACCACCCCGACACTGCCTGCTGCTCCCGACGTCAGCTGCAGCCCTGGCAGCCCGGGCCGCCCTGAGTCGCCCTTCTCCCCCGGGGGACCCCTGGGTCCGGGCGGGCCTGGCTCTCCAGGGGGCCCCCGCGGCCCTGGCTTGCCGGGTCGCCCCGGGTCGCCCTTGGGCCCCTGGATGAAAGGGGGCGGAGGGTTGGCGCTCAGATCCTGCATGACTTCCAGGGCAGCAGTGCTGGGTCCCGGCGGCGGCGCCTTGGCGCCCGCAGGGCCACCGCCGGGTGAGGCGCTGTATGGGTCGCAGATCATGCGGCAGGTGCCCATCATCTCGTAGTGCGCCGCTCCGGGGGGTGCCGCCTGCAGCAGCAGCGGCACCGCGATGAGCAGCCCCAGAGCCATGGCTAAGAGCACGCCGACGGCCGCCAAGCAGGCGCGCCGCCGCCGCTGCCACAGCCGGGAAGCGACCGCCACCAGCTCCTCCTTGCCGCCTGGGGAGGTAATGGTGGGGCGGCGCGGGCGGCCCCGCTCCCCGCGCTCCGGGGCCGACTCCGCAGGTCCCAGCCGCACCCCCGACGTGGCGACCCTCTGGTCCCGGCGCCCAACTACTTCAGCGAGAGGCGCCCCGGCCCAGGAGACAGTGCTCACCCCGCGGGAGCTGCTCCGGAGAGCCGAGGAGCCCAACGCGCATCGCGGGGGCTCACAGGACGAGCCCAGCGCCCACAAGTCCGGGCGGCAGCGGCTGGGGAGCACTGGTGCGAATGCGGTGTCCGGAGCGGGCTTGGCGACGTTGCCTCTTGCCCGGCTCGGCGGGGCTTGGCTGTGCTCCGCGAGGCTCCGCGTTCAGTAAGGACTCCCGGGCTCCGCCGCGCGCTCTGCTCTGATCTCCTGCTACTCGCTGACTCCCGCGTGGAGGGGGAACCCAGCTACCCTGACGTAAGGAGTCCGGGGCTGAGCGGAGGAGGCGGCGAGGCAGCGCGCGTTGCCATCACTCTGGAGACGGCGCCCTCTTGTCATCAGCCTTCGGTCCTCCTCCTTTCGGGAGGCGTCCCTGACAGAGACGACAAGGCGCGGTTCCTTCTGGCGGCGCCCGGGAGCTACAAGTGGGCTCAGTGGGCGCAGCCTTGAGCCGGTCGCTTCAGACACACCTACCGGAGGCCACGCTTAGTCGCCTCCCACCAACAACGCAAGAACGCTCACGGGTGCACTCACGGGCGCACACAGGCACCTCCACATGGCCACGATGACACTCAGAATCCTGATGCCGGCAAGGTCCTGCGGGGGTCACCTAATCCAATCCCTTGCCTGCAAGCAGGACTAGACCCCAATCAACCAAGTCGAAGAGGACTTTTGTCCCATGAGGCTCTGCAGTGAAGCACTTTCTGAAAGCCTCCTGAATTTCTCCTTCAGAACGGAATAAATTTCACTTCTAAGAGGTCTGTCACGCACCTAGCCTGAGGAGTCCAAGCTGTTATAGAGAGAGGGTCCAGAAGACCACCCCACCAATTAACTCTTTTAATAACTCTTTGAAAAGCCCAAAGCCCAAGTACAAGAGTCTATTAGCATCAGTCTTTTGCTTCCACCCAGAAAATGGCTGGTCTTTGTCCTCTGTGTGAAGCTCATTTAGAGATGCAAATGCTGGACACCCAGCACTTGGTGGTAACCTTGGTGCATTCTGCCCTGACTCCCACCTGGCCATTACCAGGCAGATCCAGGACAGGTGCCAGTGGACATCCCAAATTCCCTCCTACTGAGGTGGGTTTAGTTTTAAAAATACTCCAAAGCCATTCTGAGCCAGTCTTGAATAATCTGTGACAGCAGATTTAGGGAAGAATTATCCATCTCCAGTGCAGCATGTGAGCATAAAGGAAGGATGGGAATGCTCCTGTGAACTGGGGAGATCTCCAGCTCAGAAATCAAAAACCCCATCTTCTGGTTCTGCTCTTGCCCTGAGCGGCTGTGTAACTTTGAGAAGATCATCCCCCGCTCCAGTCCTCCCTGATGTGAAGAATGCACCTGGCCAGGTCTGGGAGGAGAGTCCAGATATCAGCATGGGCTGCTATCAGTATCTGGCAGAGCATCAGCATCTCTGGAACAACCATGTGCCCTCCTGAGGCTATTGCTTTGAAGAGAACATTCATTTATCAGGTATTGTGTTCTCGTGGGTTATTTAAAAATCTGTTCTGTTTCTCTCTGGTTACTCTGGGCCATTTCCCCACCCTGCTCTATGTTGCTCCAGCCTCTTCTTTCATCTTTGTGTTTCCTAGGGATTAGCAGAAGATCTAGCACCTGGTAGGCCCTCAGTACGTGTTTGTGGAGTCCAAGCTGTTATAGAGGGTCTAAATCGAGCCTGAAGCAAACTTTATCCAGGAGAGCAGGAAGAAAAGGAACTCATTCATTTGGTACCTACTATGATGCATCAGGCACTTTGCACATGCTCTTTCACCTACTCCTCCTAAGAGCCCTATGGATTAGCAATTATTTTCCCATTATACAGATGAGAAAACAAAGGCTTTGAAAATGCAAGGTGCTTGCCTAGTGTCTTCCACCAATATAACAGAGCCAGACTTCTCCTCACACCCAGACCAGGAGCTCTGAGAACCTGGCAGTGGATGCTGCATTGACAGCTAGCTTCTGGCCACAGTCTTTGCTGGTTTGCTGGGCCCTAAGAGCCCTTCCTTTTCCTAGGGCCACCCTTAGAACCAGTGATCCACAGTGACTCCAGGAGCCATACTACCAAGTTTCAATCCTGGCTCTGCAACTTCATGTCTGTGTGACTTTGGGCAAATTGCTTCACCTCTCTGAGCCTTGGTCTCCATGTGTGTAGAATGGAAATGACAAAAGTAACTATCACAGAGTTATTTAGAGATTAAATGAGTTAATTCATATAAAGTCTTTAGAACAATAGCTGACTCAATAAAGTTTAGCCATTATTATTAACACTGATGCTTTAGACCTCCACCATCATGCTTAAAACAGCTGAGATGAGACATGTGGGCAGTAAGCAGGGTGGGGGGAGGTGAATTTATGATTTGAAAAAGAGAGAGACCCAAAGATCACCCACATGCTCTATTCTTCTCTGAAGCAGAGGAGGGGGACTGTATTGTCCTTCCCACATTCCCCTCAAGCTGCCCTGTTCTGGCTTTGTGCTGTCAAGACTGTCTAGATTATTTCCCATCACCAGCTCCACCTGGACAAACATTTCTAGACAGACAGACACTCTGTTTGAATTCCCCAGCCTTGCATATCACTATCCTCAAATCCTGGTGTTATTGCCCATGCAGGATCTGGGAAGGAAAGACTCAAGGAGGGGCAAAAAAAGACCAAGGCTTTCACCCTCACAGACCTCGTGCAAGGCAACCTTTCCACTGAAGGGAGGAGGGCTTCTTCCCAAGGCCAGCCCTTTACCAGGGGCAGGGACAGCAGCAGCTAGAGAAGACTGAGCTAGCAGCCTCCCGCCCCAGATAACATAAGTCATGAGGTCCTTCCTCTGCTCCCCTCCCTTCCTTCTTCCCTTCTTCCCATGGTGACAGAGCCAGATAGAGTGGCCTGCTAGAGCATTAGACCTTCTCATCTACCTGGCTATTGCTCTCCCTGAGTGATCCATGTCATTAATGACTATCTACTCAACATTAATTATGATCTTTATTTGCATATCATCTTTCATTTTCACCATAGTTTTACATTGCAAGGCCCAGTAATGACTCAAATCTGCCCCTAAATTGCCATTAGTAATCCAGCCTGCATTCCTTCCACCAACATCCATTGACAGCCTACCATGTGTTAACCAATTACCTCCACCTTCTCACTCCCCAAAGCCCTTGTGGTCTGTGACATAGTTTGACACTTGATCACATGCTGTTTTGTCTGGTGCTCTAACGGCCCCCACCAGGATGAAGGCCCTGCTCTTCATTCATTCGCACTACAGTGTCTTAAACCTGGGATGCCTGTCTCTACTCATCTCTCTAGACTCATCCCTCAATATCCTTCAAGTCTCAGCTAAGTGTCACCTTCTTGCCCAAAGTCTTCCCTGACCCCTCCCCAAGAAGAGTTGACGATTTCTGCCCATGTGCTCTTAGAGTACCTTGAACGTACACACCCCTATCACCATGTATTACACAAATAACGTTTAC